CAGACTGGTCTCACCGGCCATAGCAGCAAAAGCCACAAGTCAACTTTTTATTTCGCAAGAGAAATATTCTCGTCTGCAGATGTATTAGTCACCGTCAGACATTGACGGACGAGTGAGTATCATCAGGATCTAGTGCCAGATCTGCGACAGACATGATATAATCGGCGATCATGGTTCTCCATTCATTCCTTTGCTCGGATGCTCTCAAAAAAGCTATGTTTCCCTGATCTTTCCCTTTTGCACACTCATACAGCAAGACTGTCTTCAAATTTGAGTTGAAAAATCCTCAGCTTCGTACGGAGCCAGATATCCCTAACGTGGTTCTACTTATCCCAGTCAAAGATGGAAATGATAATGGTTATGTGTGTAAAGACATGATTATAATGAATCAGGCGCTCGTCAATTTAAGTGCATAGTCATTGGTATGTGTATCATCTTAAAACTTGTTCTTTTATCTTACTTTTGCTAAAAAATTAAAAAATCAATACATTTACTCATTTATCTTGAATAGAAATTGACATGCAAGTGTTTGCTACTGAATGAGGTGGGGGTCACCTGGTGTCATCTCATCATAGATCAAACTATCAAGAAAATGGTCGCCAAAGATTAGCAACTTTCAAAGTTTGGGTTTGAGTGTCCTTGGAAACTGCAAATTTACTTCTTTTTCTGTGCCTCCAAACAACTTTTCTTAATTAAAAAAGGTAAATCTACACAGAAATGGGTTTCAAATGCATATATAAAAGGTGCTGAGCCGCGAAAAAAAAATCGATGAAAATTGCCCCACTGGTCGAATATATCTGTTTCTTCGATTTCATTATTTTGACGAGAGTCTGATTTCCCTACGATGGCACACGATAAAGTATCAAAGGCAGCCTGTGCCTTTCCAATGCAGGACTTAATTTCAGCTCCTGTTCCCCCCTCTCTGTCAATTATACTCCCAAGACAGCAGAAGGATTCATCTCAGTAGATGTATTACTCTACTAATAAAATTGCAAGTTTTTGTTACATGAAAGTCAGTTTTGAATAGATTGTCTTCAATCTTTAAAATATGATTAGCCTACGACTTTCTGTGGGTGGGGTTGTTTTTTTTACATTAGAAGTACATCATGCATGATTATAAATACGACACAATACACTAATGCAGTCGACTACAAATGAGTTGATGTCAGGAGAGGGAAAAAAAAGATCAACTCATCCGAAGTTTAACTTAACCGTTGGGAGCTGTTAAGAAGAAAAAATGCTGGGACACGAGAGAAAAAAAAAGGTCAACTTAACCGAAGATCAGCTCAAGCGGAGTCGACTGCAGTAGGTTCTATTGAGTTGAAAAGAAGCCACTGCTCTGCAGGGCATAGTTGAAGGAGACGGAAGGACGGGGAGATGAAGAAAGATGGGAGGGAGGAATTTGGTAACATCTCGGTCAGGGTGGACAAGTCTGAAAATATATGAGACAGCGTGGCGAAATCAGGCGCTTGTCAAAATAATCAAATTGAAGAAAGTGGCATTTTTTCGCAGGTTTGTGAATTTTTGTTGAATTTTTGTTGTTGTTTTTTTGGCTCAACAACTTTCACGCCCATTAAAGAACACATTTCTGTGTGGATTTTACTGAAAAACATTGATTAAAGGCACAAAAAATGTAAATGTTCAGTTTCCACGAACTCTCAGTCTAAGGAAATAACTCATCTTTGGTGGCCATTTTCTCACTAAATTTACCTCTGAAACCAGGTGATCCCCGCCTCCTTCATTCGCAAATATCTTGATTTCTATTCAAGATAAATGGATATTTTTTTTCATTCAAAACAAGACAAATGAACAAGCTTTAAGATGATACCAATAACTCTTCATGCCCTAAAATTGACGACAGCCTGATTCCACTGCGTCGTGACACATATGGCTAAGAGCAATTCCAACAGTCAAAAGGAGTGGAATTAGACCATGAGATTGGTGGAAAGTCATCCGTGGTGCTCCAACAGCTGACAAAACTACATGTTTGATGATGATGATGATGATGATGATGATGATGATGATGATGATGATGATGAGGAGGAGGAGGAGGAGGAGGAGGATGATAATGATGATGATGATGATGATAGTGGTGGTGGTGGTGGTGGTGATGATGAGAGTGTAAAGCACAAAATATTTCAGACCGAGC